ACACCCTCAAAATGAGAACCTCGATCTGTTGTAACTTCTGCTGGACAACCGAAGTCTGCTACCAAATCGTCTACATGGGCTTTTGAATGTAATGAACCACTGAAAGCTGAGGGAGATTAAGGGCAATTCGAAGTAGGCACTGTAACCAGCGCCAGGGAGCTAGGAGTCATAGCGAATGCAGACTACATATCGAGTACCTAATGTGAAGCTGTAGCGCATATGGCAAGACGCTAGCTGTTCCAACTAAGGTCAGCAGTTTCGTTTAGGCGTGTTCGTGCCCATCTACAAAACCATCTTAAGGCCTCACACAGAGTATTGTGTTCAGGCTTGGGCGCCTTTCTACTAAAAGGACGCAGCCAGGACGGAGAATGTCCAGAGACTAGCAACAGGGATGGTTGAGGGCATGAGGGGTAAATCATACTATGCTTGTGCACACTGTCTTTTTCACTAGAAAAGAGGAGGGGGCACGGAGACCTTATGGAAGTACAACAGTATAACGATGAAAATCGTGAGACATGATGGGATGCATGATCACTTTGTACAATAAATGGTAGAACATTGGGGTCATCAGAGTTCAGAGGGTTTAAAGCACAATTGAACGCAATTGTCTTTACGCGCGACAAACAAAAAGGACCACAAAACGGTCAGTGGACATTTGGTATATTCGGGGTTCGGTAGAAGAGAAGAAGGTGAGAGAGGTAACACGGTTCTGTCAGTTTGTAGTTCTGTGGATAAGTAGGCATGAAGAAAAAAGTCACAGAGGAAGAAGTTGAATGGTTGAAAGTGCATATACATGTCAATGAGTTGGATTATTCAGCACTGAGTTTGATCCAGGAGAAGAAATGAGTACGGCGATTGTCGGATATAACGTCAATACGAATCGCAATGTCTCGACTTCGATTGACCAAATTTCCAGCACGAAGGAAAACAGTTGAACGACAGTTGAAAGTTCGTTTCTATTATAGGCATACATCAATACATATTTACGACTTGTAAAACCGTCGTAGATCCCAGTTACAGAACGACAAACAATAAAGCAGATCACGGGGCGAGACCACAAAGATAATGAGGAGGCCGGTTAAAACAACTGTTGAACTTTGAGTTCATAAAATAGAAAGAAGAGATAAGAAAAGGAAGATAATGGAATTAGAAAAGTAGTGTGTACAAAAGCTGTTGAAAACCGTCACATCGGACACAGTGAAGAATCTCAAACGTTGATCGTGTGGAGATGAAAGGAGCCAAAGCCTGAGTGGATGGATGTTTTGAAGTGTTTATGTGTAAAGATACGTGGAGATTTGTGTTTGCAAAATACAAAAGTCATGCAAGTATAACCAACTTGTGAGCGATATCCCTGTTTTAAGAATAAGCAAATTTTGCTGGGGTTGGATCTGGGATCCCTCTTTGTTGAGGCTTCTCACCGAGGAACGCGTGGTCATGACCTCAACCTCACAAAACAGCTTCCAAGGCTGAATTTATGAGCACACTTAATAATACTACTAATAATAATAATATATTTCTCAGTCTACAACGAGAGACATGCGAATGATGCACGATCAAAGCAGGCATGATAAAATTACAATACCACCACATGAAACACAATCAAATGTACATACAAGGGCAAATTGATTGTGGGAATGAGTTATAGTGCAAAAATGTTCAATGGAATGTACTTTTGTGATAATGTTCCATTTGAATATGTACAACACAGTTTCAACTTCAAGGTCATCACAGAAATCGGAATGATACAATTTCGCTGAATGAGCACGTATGTTCAAATATTACAAAGATAAGTGCTATGTGAAAATTACAAAAGATTCAAATGTAAAACAGCAAAAGGAGGAAGAAAAAAGTATTCTAGAATGGGTAGAAGTGTTCCTATATCCACAGATACAACCTTCACCTTCACCTTCTGGAATGAAAGGTAGTTGGGACTACTCTCGTATGAGCCTTTTCACCTCCGAATTTCGGACAAGCTACCCATCAGCTTGTCGCCCGATTAATAGAAAATCATCCAGCCCCTGTTTGAATTTGCCATCATTTTCCTCTTCCACCAAATCCGCCGGGAGAGCATTCCAAATGTTGGTCACTCTCCTGGATAGACGGTACACTGACGGATGTCCGTATGACTCCTGCTTNCACCTGTATGAGTCTTCTCTTCTCCGAATCCGGACAAGCTACCCATCAGCTTGTCGCCTGATTAATAGAAAAGTATCCAGCCTCTGTTTGAACTTGTCACCATTTTTCTCTTCCAACACATCCGCCGGGAGAGCATTCCAAATGTTGGTCACTCTCCTGGATAGACGGTACACTGACGGATGTCCGTATGACTCCTGCTTCCGAAGCGTGAAAGTGTGGCCACTAGTACGTGCATCATTGCGTAATGGAAACTTTTCTTTCAGCTCTTCCCCCAGATCACCGCGGATAATCTGCCTGGTCAGCAGGATGTCACCACGAAGGCGTTGGTAACTCTCCACGTACAAGTCCGTAATGACAAGACGCTGATCACAACTATGTCCTCGCTGGCCCGCAACAAGACGCTTCTCACTGTACACGTTCAATCTTCGCCAGCTCTCCCTTTGTTATGGGGA